CGATGTGCCACCAAATCGTAACCAGCCTTCACCATGCCCTCACGATGTCACCGGGGACGCAATTGCCAAAAAAACTATTTTTGGCAGCGAAGGGACGATACCAATTCAAACAATTAACAAACTACCGGGTTTCTGGGTTGATTTGCAAAGTACTACATGGCTCAACTATTTTTTACTTAGGGGTTATTTGGTAAAAATAGCAAATTGGTATAAACACAAATCATACGACGTCACCGACAACGCCCGGGACGGCAACTCGATTTTGAGATTAATTTTCCAGATAAAGTTATACTAAATAACTTCTAATGACGAACTATTGTCTTTAGTTGTCTTTGTTGGTCATTCAACTGTCATTTTATCCATTTTTTCTGTGATATTAACATTCTCAATAATCTATAAAACACCCACATAACAAAGTCACGTTAGATCGATCGGTGGAGACGCCGTGGTGACGCCGGTAGGGTAAATTTTCGTCGGAAGTTATCAAGATGATAAACAGTTTCATTGGACTAAATTCTTGCTTATGTTGACTACATGCTTACCTAAGATTATACTGACACTGGTTTCAAATGAAATAACTAAAAACTTTGGTTTATATCAATGTTTTAATAAGTATATAAAACTATGTCACAAATACGTATGCAAAAATGCACAGGGACACCACGCTGGTTTTGTATTTTTCTTGAAACCTGTATGCCTGATCACCATCATCATACACAGTATAATAGATTAAAGTAAGATGTTTCAAATGATATAAAAATGTATGCAAACATGCCTTTGGAACAGTTTTTTTTTTTTCGAGTTTAATTTACCTTAACGTCGACTCAGTCTTAGAAAGCACCAAGATTAATCACAAAACAGTATTCTTTTATAAACCTCTAATTCCAAAAATAATCAGTAAATCCTGTGCAATAAATAAGAATACATACATAATAAACTGATTAACAATTAAACACATTTTGCATAACAATGTAGTACTTCTGTAGTCAATGCATAGTAATTCTTCGCATGTTTGAATACTAGAATTTTAGATTAATATATAATCGAATACCGGTAGTATGTATTGCGAATGATATTCCAGCTCTTTGGCGGCTGACAATATGATACATCATTCAGAATATTTAACGTGGAAACCATGGTTACCAAAGAATTGCATTTATTTCTGGTAGATGGAGCTGTAATTCTAAATAATTAATTAATTTAAGCCTAATTACAATTGACTTGCATTTGTAGTAGTAGGACTCTTTTTCTAATTAATTATACCTACACGATACTCTAATCCTCAACTCAGGTTTTAGCTCAATACAAACGCATCAACTCAATGCTGAAATGTCTCCTTGACAATGTCTGAGATTTGAATATTGTGTACCGTATTCATTTCGTTGTTTTAAGATATTAGCTTACGCCTGAAAACAGCATTATTAGTGTTATAAATATAAGCGTTGACCTAATATGACTACACATAGCAACGTCTTGAATCGATCTCTCTTATAATGAGCTGGCTAGAGAGCCAAACTACCACAATCCAAGACAACCGTCAAAGCGTGTGACGTGGTACTGACTACCGCAGTGGATTGTTGATTGTCACCAAATTAAGCTAAGGAAGAAGGACCATCTTTTGCCAGAAAATAAGGGAGAACGTTTCTGCCTGATTATCTATTACACATCAAGTTTTGACTTAATTCTTTGTCAAGATTTACTGGAATGTTGGGTGTGTTTGATCATTAATGTAACTGTTGTCAGTAAAGATCGCTGACATGCAGGCTCTTTCTCTGATCCTGATTGATCTTTGGGTACCAACATAGTCGATCAAGAGGCAACACGCATATTCGTTAATAATTATTTTCAAACTGTTAGGCCTTCATTGATTTGGATTTACTGAAAGGATCGGTGTGTTGGATCATCGATGGGAAAAGTAAAGTGTTTGTCAGTAAAGATCGCTGACATGCATGCTCTATGTTTCTGATTCTGATTGATCTTTGGCTACCAACTCTCTTGAATGTTATAATGAATCGCGTGCCTCTCAAGACATAACAAGAGGCAACACGCATATTCGTCAATAATTATATTTAGACTGTTAGGCCTTCATTGATTTGGAAGTTAGTAGTCTGAAGACATTTTTTATTCTAATCTGAATAAGAAATAACATGCCATCGGTGTCGTCTCAATAACAGGCTCTTAATTTTTATATACACCATACTAGTAGACTCACAAATTGTAAATATTCAAGGAACCTTTAGGAACGTACGGCACTTGTTTTTAAAACACTACTAAATAATCACGGCTAAAATTATAGCAAATAGGCCATGAATCTCACCATATTTGCGGTGATTAAAGCGGTTCTAGTGCGGTTACTTTTCGTTTCCATCGGCGTTCTCTGTGTTCGGTCACTTGTTCAAGTGAAAGATAATGTCTTATACTGGTTTATGATGTCTACAGCAATATTGTCTATTTTTGAAGCAACAATAACTTTAACAACGAGAGAAGGCGGGGAATGGAAATGGTGAGTTAACTATTAATAGGCCTATTACTATTTTTATATTATTATTATTATTATTATTATTATTAATAATATTAATATTATTATTATTATTATTATTATTATTATTATTATTATTATTATTATTATTATTATTATTATTATTATATTAACGTTTGCGGTACACCAAGTAGATAGTTCTGAAAAGTACTGTTGTTAGTTGTGAATGTCAACAACAGTTCTTTTTACGTTTTGTATTATTTCTTAGCCATGCAAACCTTCAAACAATATCATTATTAAACCTATTATCATTAGAGCTATTATTATTAATATTATTATTATTATTATTATTATTATTAATATTAATATTATTATTATTATTATTATTATTATTATTATTATTATTATTATTATTATTATTAATAGCCCTGTCCTATAATACATCGAATTCTCAGTGCAATGTTGGTACTTCTAGTTGGCAATCTAGTTTTAGTTTGATAATAATCATTGTGATTCGAAAGCTCAAAGAGGACAGAATAATTGTCCATTATAAATTAGCATTGTTATGATGATTGACTGCGCATATTTTGTGATCTGCATTAGCACAAAAAAAAACCGCCTTTAAATCAAAAAGTGTTTGGTGACAGGCCAACTTATTCCGTATGGTACGATTCATATTTATATCGTTTAATACTATCCATCTGTGGAAATTGACATAATGTACTCTGTGACAATTGACATTGTCCTTTAAAGGTTTTCACATGCCAGCCCTAAATTATAACCTTACAATTTAATCATTCCCCTTGGGTGATCATTGTTGCACTTTTAAAACACAGATATCATAACTGTAATTACAATGTATAATGCATTTTGTAGTTTTAGATTTGTATTATTGTGTTGAATGTATATCTCTTATTTAAAATCACATCAAAGTAAATTTATTTTCTCTACAACTTTGAAATGTTTTTATTTAAATGCGCATAAACGCTTCGGATGGAACTGTAGAACTCCTGATTTACAGCACTCCAAATATACAAATAATAATTATTATTATTATAGAAGGGCTCTTGGTAATCAGGATCTCTATATTTTACATTTGGTTTAAAATAGGATATAAAATCACCATTCAGAGTTATACCATTTTGACAATGAAATTATGATTACCTGATATAGTATGAGTAACCATTATTTGTTATCAAAACGTAGCCAACCAATTATAGTTGTAACATTTTAAAAGTGCGTTTAAGCCTTTGGTCTGTGTGTAATAGCATGGAGGTATGGTTAAAACATAAGCGAACACGTGCGTTTGTGGAAAACACGTGTGATTGTGAGACGCGCGCGTATCCCTAGCGCTGTTCTGATTAGTCAGTTGATAAATTTGATTGACACTCCGGAAAGGTCTATTAAGTTCTATCTTGCACTTTGTAGAAAAACAATACTCTTCGCGAATTAAAAAAAAAATCGTTGTCTTCGTATCTACTACCTAATTCACAACCAGAAGGAACCCACTTAGATTTAATCCCAGATATAGCACTAAGAAAAAGAAGTTTCGAAATTCAACTGATGATTGACTTGTATTTTCAAAAATGTTTTCAATTTGGAAAAAAAATGAAATGAAGAGTAACAACAACGATGAGTTGAATATAGTATGTGATCCCGACGAAGAAAAAAAACTTTCGTCGGTCTTTCGGTTTTATAGAAAATCCAATCTAGTAGTAGCAGTAGTAGTAAAATCAGCAGTAGCAGCAGTAGTAGTATTAGTTGTCGCAAGAGTATCAGAAGTAGATGCAGCAGTAGAAGCAGCAGTTGTAGCTGCAGCAGCAGCAGTAGAGTGCGAGTAGCAGTAAGAGCAAAAGCAGCAGTAGTAGTAGAGTGGAAGTTGTAGTAGTATTCTAGAAGACGTAGTAATAGAGTAGAAGTTGTGTAGTAGTAGCGCCTCTTCTATTAATCATTCTTCCACAATTCCTATTGAATGTGTTCCAACCAATCCAAGAATCTTCTGGCCAATCTTAACTTAACTTAACTTAACTTTGTCATTCTGGAATTAACCATCCCCTTTGAAACAAAAATAACTGCTGCACATTTAAGGAAGCTTATTAAATATTCGCCTCTAGTTTCCGATCTTAGAGACGCTGGCCATATGGTTAATCTTATCCTTCTTCAAATCGGATCACGTGGGTTCATCTCATAGGATCTGTGATCTCATTAAAAGAGCAGCTTAACTCAGTCGGCTAAAATGGTGGTAGCCACTGTGTGTGCGCTGGACCATCGAGATATCTAAGTACCCGGTTCAATTTCTATCGCTGCTCTCCTTGTGTTTCAGCTTGAGGCTGAATTACAGGTTACGATAGAGCGCCGTCCCGTCTGCGACATGCCCATGTGCACATTAAAGAACGCAGGAAAAGAGTAGGGGATTGTCTCCCAGTGAATTGCTCAATTTACCACCAGAAGGACCCCACTGGAAAAAGTCTTCGGACGTAGTGGGCTATTTTTGATGTGATTCACACCAAAAATACATCTCATCTGATAACATCTAACGTTTTATTTTTATGTAAACTGTGTAATAAGCCCATACCGTTCAATGCCTTTTGAGACAATCTCTCGAAACTTGCGATTATTTTACCTTTTTCTATTTTCCATGCCAAAGATGTACCCACGTGAGAATTTGATTTGTTTTTAAAGAGCTATATTTCTTAAAGAACGAAATTTATATTTTTAATTTTCATTAATTCTTAATAATAATTCACTTTTTTTTATAGTTCTATACAATAATTATATGTATGTTGTCTCTTCTTCCCGCTCTTTAATTGTTTGTAACATTTTGTCTCCTATTTCTTTTCTTCTTCTGTCTTCTTTCCTTCCCTCTCTCGTCATTTACTTTAAGAATTTTAACGTATAAATTCTTCTAAATGTTTTCCTTTTATTCATTTTGTTAATGTCTTTATATGTTTATTGAATAAAAGTGATTTTTAATGTCTACAAGGTGTAGTAGATTATAGCAAGTTGTAATAGTAATTATAATGCAGTACTGTTGTTTATAATTTTAGGTTTTACCCCAGTTTTGCAATAGCACTTCTGAGCACTGTGCCAACTATCTGGATCTTGGAACTGGACATTATGAAGGAACACATTAGAACAATGAATACACTAGGTTTGAATACATGCATCGAAGTGCCACACAATATTAACACCTCCATCAATGCAGGCGAGGTAAAATTACGTAAAACATTATTTTTTTTATTACACCTTCTCTGTCTCTCACTGTCGGATGTAGCCTTCCTCAAAATGTATCCATTATCATAAGTTCTGCCTGTACCTCTCTTTTCTCTGGATTTAAATTATCCCGCCATGTTCTTCTTTGTCGTCCCTCTCTCCATTTACTAGATGTTGGTTACCATATTTCCGTTATTCTCTTCGTCTTACTTTTGCTTTGGCGAATTAACATAATAAGATTCACCTTAAACGATAACGTAAGTTTTTTATCGTCCATTTTATTATAGCTTGCACAGTCAATTGGCTTTACACCTGAGCAGTGGTCACTGTTTCTTCAACAAATTCTTCTATTCACTTTGATCCTTGGACGATGGATGTTGCCAAAGGGCTCATTGACACGTGACCAGCTTTCACAGCTTCTACTCGTCTTTATCGGAATCGCGGCGGACATCTTGGAGTTCTCTACAGAAAGCTTGAAACTCGAGACGGTAAGATGCAATGAAACAATGATTGTCACAATACTGACAATCTGGACCTGGAGTCTTCTGCAGTTCACCCTTGGACTGACGGTAACAAAGTCACGAAAAACACGTCTGGCTGGCGTGAATGACCGCCGGGACAATGTGAATCAGGTTTGCGACATGAGTTGCGGGTGCTGCGAGACTGAAACTTGGGGAATTATGGTTACAATTATCATGCAAGATGGGCCTTTCTTCATCACGAGGATGTACCTTATTTTTCACGCGGACGTCATCAACCAAGGAATGATATTCTTCACCTGTAAGAATCTCATGGTTCTGTTGTTACAGTTTTATCGTCTACTAGTTCTATATTTTGAGACTCCCTCCAAACCGGATGTCATTGACGAAACAGGTAGTGAGACTAATCTTGAGAAAATGCCAGGTGATAGATCGTACAAGTCTAAAAATAAAATGTCAGTGGTAGAAGAATTCAAAACACATAGCACATTTTCTAGTATTTCTACTCCTACGCTTGTTGCTGACACTTGAAAATTCGAAGAACTCAATGGGAAAGTTAATTGTTCTGCCGACCTGAACATTTTTTAAACAATTCCTGACGTAGTATAAGTGACTATCATGGCAACATGAGTGCTCGAGAGAGAAACAACGTCATTAGAAGCATTTCAATTAAATTTGAAGATATTGACACAGGCCCATGTACAAATGTAATATAGATGTTGCACTTGGGACTTTAAGTATAGGAATATTAGCGAACGGCCAGTTTCTTATACTAGCATGAAGAATATACAAACAAAATACCCGTATTTTTATATCAATAGTTAGTTACAAACTTGTTTATTGCCTTATAACTTAAACAGTGTAAATTAATGGCTTCTAGTAGCCAATATCATAAACATAAAGCACTTTAGACTAGTTCCACACAAAAACATGGTATGTTTACATTATTTAATGATTTCATAACTACACAATTAGATATGAAATTCACACAAGAGTGCAACGTAAATCGGACTATATTAAACATTAAGCCACAGACTAACTTACAACAAACAGTTTTATAAAATCACTTTCAATAAATTATATTGTGTTGTGGAACTGTTTCTACAAGCGTATAGGCCTAGGCATACATACACACATATGCAGGGGTGGCGCCAGCGGAGGTGGGGGGTAGAGCCATAGATAGAAAGAGTTGCGACATTGAGAATTTAGAAGCCATTTTGTGTCTAACGTTCTGTGTCTAACGTGATGTGCGTTCCTGTGTATAATATTGTATAATACAGTTTGCGGCCTCCTGTATAGTTTAATTCCATTTAATCTTTTTAGCAGTCGAATTTCATGTATCTCTATTTATAGATTTTTTAAAAATAATTTCACTACTTTATATCCAATTTCATATTATAAATACTGTAATAATTTACTA